GGAGCAAACCCAAGAGCCGCAAGTGTAGTCCTCAATGTGTCGTGCCACTCACGGGGCGCCTGGCGGAGACCGTAGACTGGCCCTCGGAGGCTCCACTGGGTACTAGGGGGAAACGACCCAGTGAAGCCAGGTGGGCGGCGCAGCCAGATCTCCTCGTGCAGACTGCCCTGTAGGAAAGGTGTGCTGAGGTGAAGAGAGTGAAGCTCGTAGTCGCGCTAAGCGGCTATGTGCAGCAGCACCCGAAGAGTGGTCATCTTCGGGGTGGGAGAGAAGGTCTGAAAGTAGTCAACTCCCTGCCGCTGACTGAAGCCTCGAGCCACGTAACGCGCCTTGAAGACAGGCGGAGAACCAGATGGCTGCTTCACCCTGAAAATTCACATGCCACTGACAATGTTCGCCCCAGGTGGGGGAACCTCGTCAACGTAGGTGCATGTGGACTTCCACGAAGCCATCTCTGCGTCCATGGCTGACTGCCACTATGAGGAGTAGGAACCCTCGATCGCCTCAGCGTACGATCGAGGAGTCGGGATGTCTGGTGCATCCGGGTCTCCCTCAGGGGCAATCAGCGTGGACACGAGATGAGGCAAAGCAGCAGCAAAACACTGGAACTCCTCCTGCCTGTCCTCAAGGACGTCCGTGCTAAGAGCACACTCACCCCCGACGGACGGAGGACAGACAGACTCAGACTCAGCAACAAGACTAGTAGCGTAGTCTAGACGACAGCGAGCACCAAAGTCGACAAGCTCAGCAACCAAGGCAGACGCAGCAGTGGACTCAAAGGAAGGGTCAGAGACAACAGTAGCCAGGAGACGCGTGTCAGCAGGACTGGCAGCACGAAGAGAGTCAGACTCAGGGTCAGCAAGGACAGGAAGAGAGGACTCCGGAGGAGACGGCAACGGGACACGTAGAGGAGTAGTAGAAGGACGCAGTGCCATGTGGAGTGTGCCTGGGACCGCAAGAGGACGCGGACGCGGAGCACGACTACTTGTGCGAGTAGCACAAACAGGCAACACAGGACGAGACGCAGGCTCACGACGCTCAACAAGACCTCCAGTAGTTCCAGTGTAGGGAGAAGGAGCAGGCAGGGGGGAGGCGGGCTGTAACTGTGACCGCGACTGGACAGGCTGTGGACACTCTAAGGGAGGAGCAGGACCAGTAGAGGGCGGGAGACCAAGAACCTGCTCAAGGAGCGGAACGAAGTACGGCCGTGGCTGCACAGTGCCTTCAGAACCAGCAGGGACAGCACCAGTACCCCCAGCGGCAGCACCAGCGCCAGCAGCACCTCCAGCTCCAATAGCGCCAACTCCAGCACCCTCAGAAGCACCAACGCCAGCTGCACCACCAGTTCCAACAGGGCCAACTCCAGCACCCTCAGAAGCACCAGCGCCAGCACCACCACCAGCGCCAACACCCCCAGCAGCTCCAGCTCCAGCAGCTCCAACAGCTCCAGCAGCACCAACTCCAGCAGCTCTAGCTGCACCTACTCCAGCAGGACCGTCAGCCCCAGTACCGCCTGCATCTCTAGCAGTACCTCCAGCAGGACCAACTCCATCATCCCCAGCAGCAACCCAAGTCCGAGCAGCTCCAGTACCGCCAGTAGGAGCACCTCCAGGACTAGTGGCTCCTGTAACTCCAGTGCCGAGTCCAGGGTCAGCTGTAACAGCAGCACCTCGAGCTCCAGCAGCACGCCGCCAGCGCCGGGCAAACCACTCGCGCAGCTCTTGTGGAGAGGGTAGCTCCCGCCTCGACGAAGCACCCGAAGGGGCCCCAAACCCAGCACCGCCAGAGGCCACACGAGCAGACCCAACACCCTCAGGCTCCGCACCCCCAGGCTCAGCACCCCCAGGCTCCCTACCCCCAGGCTCCGCACCCCCAGGCTCAGCACCCCAAGGCTCCGCACCCCCAGGCCCAACACCCCCAGACTCAGCACCCCCATGCTCAGCACCCCCAGACTCAGCACCCCCATGCTCACCACCCCTAGCTGTACGAGAGTCAACAGCTACCTTGATGGGCTCGACTGCGTCTACGTGGGACACACCTGACGGGGCAGGACCCAGAGGGGGGAGGGCGTCTACCGGGGGGGACATGGCGCAAGGAAGAGTGACGGCGGGGGGAGGGGTGCAGTGCGGTAGGGGAAGAGACGATAGTAAGGAACCGACTCATTAAAAGTGACATCTTGGGAGGATAGAACACGGCGTGAGGTGGAGTGGTAAAACTGCCAACCAAGCGCGTCAGGGGGGAAGCCAAGGAAGACGCAGGGAATCGCATAGGGGGACAGCTTGTCCGCAGACAAGTCGCAGACAAACGCCCGAGATCCCCAGACACGAAACGCAGACGCATCGCCAACCTTCCCCGTCCACCGTAAGGTGGGGGAGGTCTATGGCAGGGAGACACGGGGCTGAAGGTTGATCTGATGCGCTGCGTACGGAACCGCGAACGGCCACATAAAATGGGGAGCAGCCGCATGGATCATGGACGTACGAGCGACGTCCATGACCATGCCAATGCGGCACTCAGCAATCCCATTTTGCTGTGGAGAGGCCGGAAGCGTGAAGGTCTGGCGGATGCCCTGTGCACGTCAGAATGCTCCCAGAAGGGCAGAGGAAAACTCCCCGCCTCTGTCAGAGTGCAGACGCAGAACAGGAAAGTCCGAGCCGAAACTCTCTCTGAGCTAGAGACGAGCCGCGCGGATCCAGTCGATCAACACCTCAGTGACGTCACCCTTGCTGCGCAAGGGGAACACCGTGGTGTAACGCGAGTAGTCATCAACCACCAACGGGAAGTAACGCTCGTGACCTTGGGCACGGACGCGGGCAGGGCCCCACACGTCCATGTGAAGAGTCTGCAATGGAGCCTCTGTCGGAGGAAACTCGGAGGAGTGAGGGGCGGCGTGCTGCCACCCCTCGACGCAGGGAACGCAGGTAGGGGCAGGCCCCGGAGGGAGGGGAGGGAGGGACCGGGGGAGACCAGAGACAAGGACACGGGAGGCCATGCCTCGGAGACGAGGCAGGGAGGGGTGACCAAGGCGGTGGTGCCAGAGGAGAGTCTGGTGGGACAGGAGACGACACGAGCAGGGAGCAGACTCAGGACCGGACCGAGACGCTGCAGCAAACACCTGACTCGACGCAGCTACTTGACCAGACTCAGCAACCGGAGGAGAGTCAGTAGTCAGTGTGTACAGGCTCGACCCCGGCCGGCGGGTAAACGTGGCCAAGTGTCGGCCTGTCCGAGCACACGTACAGTGGGTCACCCGCTGACTCGCAGGAGTGAACTGGTCAACCCCCCCATCATGTAGATCAGCACCACTCACCAAGTTCGTAGAGAACGAGGGGAGGTAGAGATCTGATAGGGTGCCAGAGGGGGCTACCAGACACGGTAAGACAGTGGAGAAGCGAGCAAGGACAGGACCCCCAGAGGGGTCCGCGAGGGAGACCGCAACCTGCCGACTAAGCGGCGTAAGTGTGGTGCGGTCTTGAAAGAAGGAGCGGGAAGCACCCGAGTCAAGAGTGAAGGTGTGTAAGGCCTGAGCCGGCGTGGTACCTGAGAGAGCAGACTCACCAGCACCTGGGGCAGCAGACGCACTAGCACCTAGAGCAGCAGCCTCACCAGTACCTAGAGCCGCAGCCTCAATGCCCGGGTCAGGCGGAACACACAGGTAACAGTCACCCTCATCACTAGTAGACACAGCATACATGGCAGCATGAATAGCATCATAGTCCAGATCAAAGATAGCAACCCCCGCCCTAGACAGCTCTCCCCAGCGTGGGATCTCAGTGGCGTCAGGGAACTGGTGACACTAAGCGTTCGTCTGGTGACCGAAGCAGCGCTGGGTGGAGTGCGAGCCCCCGGGCTGCTCACTAGCGCGGTCGCCGGTACGGAGGACGTAGGTGCAGGGACTAGTACCCCCACCTCCCTGACGCGCAGCGTACCACTCACGAAGGTGCTGGGAGGACGGGGTCTCACGAGTGCGCTGCTGCAGCTGGCGCGGACCACCACCGGAGCCACTCCTCTGCGCAAAGCCGCGACCAGCTCCACCGCTGCCGCCGCCGCCTCCGCCACCTCCGCCGCCTCCGCTCCCACCGCCACCGCCGCCGCCTCCTCCGCCTCCACTGCTGCCACCGACGCCTCCACCCCCGCCACCACTCCCACCACCACCCCCACCCCCTCCACTGCCTCCATCGCCACCTCCACCGCCCCCGCCAGCCTCTCCAGCGCCTTTGCCCCCCTTGCCCTTGCCGGTGCGGCGTCGCCAGCTAGGGGAAGACGCAGCGCCGACCGACTCGGTGCCAACGAAGTCGACGGCAGCAGCAGAGGCAACAGAGGGTAAAAGAGGGGAGGGGGAGCACCCCTACAGCGACTATACTCTTCTCAGCTGCCAGGAGGCGCTCCTCGAGGAGGTCAACGGTGAGTGTTGTGGGGCAAACAGAGAGAAAGTGGTCCTTGACCGAGCGAAGGGAGTCAGGGAGCCGGGTGACTATGTAGTAGAGAGTGATGTACATGGAGGGGGGGGGTTCTTGGCGCAGAACTTAGCAGGAAGCGTAGTGCGGTAGCGGGTGTCACTAGTGCAAAAGTGCGTAATGAGGTCAGCGACAGTGGGAAAGGCGGCGAGGTCAGGGAACAGGTACGGCAGCATGAGGCGGCTAAGAGCAGCAGTGGCAGGGGAAGAGTGGCATGCAACTACAGTGTCATACAAGGTCTTAGCACTCTTGTACTGACTAAAGTGCGCACGCTCAGTGGTCGGTAAGTGGCGACGCACAGCAACACGGGCAGCAGCATCGCGTGTGGCCCACTGTGAGCGAACAGTGCTGTCAGCAGTAGCAGGCGGGGCAGGAGAGGCACCAGAGGTGAGATCGAACAGGGACAGTTCGTCTGCCCTATCGCACTGTAGGAAGAGCTGTAGGTCATCGACCCAGACCTCGAAGTCAACAGCATGACCCTCAGCATCAAAGGTAAGGACACTGGGGGTAGCCATGACAGCAGTGGTCTAGCAGGGTGTGCTCTCAATAGTCCGGGTGGGTAGGGCCGGGGCGCGCCGGTAGGAACGGGGCTGCAACCGCGAAAGCAGCGGCTTGGCAGTGGCTCGCCGGCAGACTGAGTCTCTTCATGTCTTGTGGACCCTTACAGCAGACTGAGTGCAGAAAATGACATGAGTGTCTGAGGCAGGGAGCCCACGAACCAGTTGTTGTTGAGGCGCCTGGCAGGAGACGGAGAAAGGGAGAAGGGTTCAAGGCAAGAGAGGTGGAGCTGAATGCAAAGCACAAAGAGTAGCGGTATGCAATGCATGGCTGTGTGGGCAAGATGATTGCCCACGGTGTGTGTGTGTGCTGCAGCCCATGTAACTTGTGAGGGCACAAGCGAGAGCAATGCGAATGAGGAGAGCACCGAGTCGAGCAACATGTTCGAGAGCAGGGTGGATCGAAGCGGCATGGGTGAGGGCAGTGAGGGCGCTGTGGGTGAGGGTGGCAGCACTGACAGCTGCAGGAGCGTCTTGAGGCCCGAGAAGGTGACAAACTTGTCAAGGCTTCCGCGCAGGAAGTTATTGGACAGGTCGCTGAGGGGGTGGACGGGAGAGAGGGTGCATGGGGCAGGCGCAGGAGTGGGGAGGAAAGGCAGTGTTGAGGTGGAAGATGCTTGCTCAGTTGCTGCACGCATGTGAGGCGGGCAAGCAGGCAGAAAACATGCGAGGAGGGACATGGAAATGGAACGCAGAGGGTATCGGATAAGGCAGCAAGGTAGGGGAGGGGAAGACAGGTAGAAAGACAACGGCACTGACAGGTAGGTGAGGGCACTGACAGGTAGGTGAGGGCACTGACAGGTAGGTGAGGGCACTGACATGTAGGTGAGGGCTGTGAGCTTGGTGATGTCGGTGTGAATGGTGCCAGCGACGGCGGAGGACAGGTTGCTGCATGCATGGGGATGGGAATGACAGGGACCACGGACATGGGCAGGAAGGAGAGAGGGGAGGTTGATTGCATCTGAGATTGTCACCGCTAGAGCAGAGTGCAGAAACTACGCAGATCAGCAGAAAATCATAAGCAGTTTGAAGAGGAAAGAGTTGCATGCAGCAGCAAGGGGCGGGCAGCAGGGGTGGGGAGCACTGACACGCTGAGGACGTCGCCAGCGGAGGAGCAGAGCACGCCAGTCCAGGTGCCGGCGACGGCAATGGTGGAGTTGGCAATGGCGCAGGGCGATGCAGCCAGCCAGCTGGTGAACGTCACTCCCAGCGCTGACTTCACGTTCAGCAGCGCAAGCGCTGTGGGCGAGAGGGAGGGAGGGAGAGGAGGGAGCGTTGGGAATTTGGAAATGACACTCAAGAGGGCGATAGAAAGGGGAGATGGGGTAGGTCTGTGAAGGATGCGACACATAGAGGTTGGGAGATAAGAGGCAGTGAAGCATGTGAGCCATGAAGCATGAGGCCGCAATTTTTGCGTGCTGTGTGAACGCACCTGAGCCTGTATCCATCGGTGCGGCCGGATTGTCTGCAACGGGAGTGTCGGAAAAAGACAGAGAGAGGAGAAGGGCGTGAGGTGAGGCATTGCAGGAGGCATGGTGAGGGTCACAACGATGGTGACAAGCGGCGGAGCGATAAAAAAGGGATGCAAAGGTGTAAACCTGTGATTGACTAAGGGGAAAATTTTGACTGCCAGGCCTTGCAACACATGGCACACACACCGACCTGCACATGCCACACACCGACCTGCGCATGCCACGGGCAGAATAGGCTGGTTAGGCGAGTTGACAGTGCTGGCGGTGACAGCAGCAGAGGCGAGGGGAGCGCAGGAGCCGCCGAAGCAGAGGTCGCCCTGGCCGGCCACGGTGCCGCAGATGGCGCAGGCGCCGGCAGGGCGCTGCACGATGCCGTAGGTGCGGCAGGCGGTGGAGTTGAGGAAGCAGTCCCAAGGTATCTAGGAATGTGGCAAACACGATCGTGCTGGATGGTCCAGGATCCGAGTAACATTGCTTCACATTTTATACCGGTACGGATTTCGCAGCTTCCCGGGCTCACAAACGCCCTTATATGGGGACATTTTTCATGCGGCGGGCCCGTTTGAAGGAAAAAAGAGCTGGAATCTCGTCCCAAGGTATCTAGGAATGTGGCAAACACGATCGTGCTGGACGGTCCAGGATCCGAGTAACATTGCTTCACATTTTATACCGGTACGGATTTCGCAGCTTCCCGGGCTCACAAACGCCCTTATATGGGGACGGTTTTTCATGCGGCGGGCCCGTTTGAAGGCAAAAAGAGCTGGAATCTCGTCCCAAGGTATCTAGGAATGTGGCAAACACGATCGTGCTGGACGGTCCAGGATCCGAGTAACATTGCTTCACCGGCTCGGCGGCTTGGCTGCTTGGCGGCTCGGCAGCTCGGTGGTTCGGCGGCTCGGCGGCTCGGCGGCTCGGCGGCTCGGCGGTTTGGCGGCTCGGCGGCTCGGCGGTGCTGCTGCTTGGCGACTCGGCGGTGCAGCTGCTTGGCGGCCCGGCGGCTTGGTGGTGAAGGGGCCGGGGAGGGGCCGAAAGGGGCTGCGACGAGGCCGCAAGGGGCGGCGACGGGGCCGAAAGGGGCGGCGACGGGGCTGCAAAGGGGCTGCGAGGGGCCTCGAAAGGCGGCGACGGGGCCACTAGGGGCGGCGACGGGGCCGCTAGGGGCGGCGACGGGGCCGCAAAGGGGCCGCGAGGGGCCTCGAAGGGCGGCGACGGATCCGCTAGGGGCGGCGACGGGGCCGCAAAGGGGCCGCGAGGGGCCTCGAAGGGCGGCGACGGGGCCGCTAGGGTCGGCGACGGGGCCGCAAAGGGGCCGCGAGGGGCCTCGAGGGGCGGCAACTGGGCCGCTCAGGGTGGCGCGAGTGGCCGTGAGAGGGGCCTCTAGGAGGGCGCGACAGGCCGCTAAGGGCAGGGGACGCGACGAGAAGGCGGCCCACGGGGCGTGCCTCGGGCAGGGGCGACTCTAAGAAGCATTCCCACTAGGGAACCTGCTCTATACCATGTGAAGAAATGAGGAATGAATGAACTAGCAAGCAGGTGGGTACAAGTAGGAAAACCTAAAAGTGTTGTACCCCATATTGTCTGCCCCACTAGAGCTTACACAGACTATAGCATATAAGTTTGACCGTCTGTACCCTTATCGTTTTTACCAAACATGTTATCGAGTCCCATAAAGGTTACGAATGTCATATTTTCCCAGCGGAAAGTCATATCTCCATTTGGGATGCTTGGGCTCCAACCCATAGCTCCAAGTCACATATGTACGTTTCCCAACCATTCTATATGCCGTGAAACAAATCAAGTTGTTCCGTTCTTTGTTCCGAGACGCGCAGGACTAGCTCAGATTACCTTCGTTTAGATTCAAGCGTGGATTTTGGAACCAGCGGAAGTTGCAACTACGCCGATATGGGGAACGGGGGTGGATTTTTTCCCTGATTTGCATTTGGGATGCATATTGAGCGGGAAGTGTAATTGCGTCGGCTAGACTACACCAACGCGCCGCACATATGAAATGGTCTGGTTTCCTGAATGTCAAAGAAATCGTTTCAAGAAACCAAGCCTCGAAAACCCTGCATGAACCTTCGTTCTCATCCAATTCTCATCCAGTTCTCAGGCTTCCCATCGTCGGCAACAAACCCTCGTGAGAAGTGCAAGCGCCCAAGACATACGCATGTGAAACCGCCCCGTGTGCTCGTGAGTAAAATATTTTATGTCGCCTTGCTCATCGACTTGCGACGCGCTGGAGCCATGCCCCGTGCGTGCTCAGCGGGGCCAGCGCGCTGGCGGCTTGCGCTCCGGAGCCTTGTTGTCGCAGCGCACTGCGCGAAGGGGACACTGGCCACTTGCCTGACAATATCTCCTGTCAGAATATGTTGTTTGTGTAGCATGCAGTTGGGTACTCAATAGTGAGTACAGCCCCTTAGGGTTTGCTATTTGTATCCTGCTGCTTGCTAGTCTAATCATTCCTTCCTCAATTCTGTTCGTGCACACAACTGTCGCTCGTACTTGGCTCCTCGTTCTAGTCTTCCTGTGGCCTAGGCTACTAAGCCTAGGCCCGACTACATAGTATATGGGCCCACCACCTACTTCCGCTGCCGCCTCCCTGTATATGGGCCCACCACCTGCTTCCGCTGCCGTGCAATCTGCCGCGCGCTCTGTGGTGCGCGGCGCCGAAATTAGGGTTTCTGCCCGCCGCGCGCCCGGGGCGCGTGGCGATTTACCCTTCCGTGGCGCCCGTCGTGGTGCCCTTGGGGGGCATGCGCGGTCCCCTCCCGTCGCCCGTCGAGGCGCTCTCGGGGGCCCGCGCGGCCTCCCCTCTCGTCGCCTGTCGTGGCGACCACGGGGGCCCGCGCGCGGTCCCCTTCTGTCGCCCGTCGAGGCGCTCTCGGGGACCCGAGCGGCCTCCCCTCCCGTCGCCCGTCGTGGCGACCACGGGGGCCCGCGCGCGGTCCCCTCTTGTCGCCCGTCGAGGCCCTCTCGGGGGCCTGCGCGGCTTCCTCTCCCGTCGCCCGTCGTGGCGACCGCGGGGGCCCGCGCGCGGTCTTCTCTCGTTGCCCGTTGAGGCGCTCTCGGGGGCTTGCACGGCTCCCTTTCTCGTCGCACGTCGGGGCGCCCTGGGGGGCGCGCTCCTCCCCCCCCCCCCCCTCCCTCCTACCTTTCACCTGCAGCGGCCGCCCCTGGAGCAGCCCGCACCTGCAGCAGCCGCCCTTGGAGCAGCCCGCACCTGCAGCAGCCGCCCCTGGAGCAGCCCATGCCTGCAGCAGCCCATGGCCCGTACCTGCAGCCCATCCCGTCCCCCCCCGTGCTGCCCATTGCTCCCATTCCGCCGTGCGTTCCGCGGTGGTGGGGGTGTGGGGTGGCGAGCATGGGGGTGCGAGGTGTGGGTGCTCCCCTTCCCTTTCCCCTCCTCCTTTTTTGTCTCCCACTGCTGCAACTTCTGCTGGGGGGGTGGAGGTGTGGGAGCCGAGGGGAGTGGCCCTGGGGGGTTGACGTGGCAGTGGAGCTAGGGGTTCAGCAGGGGGTGTGTGATAGGGGCGTGGGGCAGTTGGCAAAGGTTGAGCGGAGGTCGTAGTCGTGTCGCCAGCAGCACTAGTAGTCCGGAGGCTACAATCCCTGGTAGTCGCCAGTCGCCTGTGGGTCAGTTGCTCCAGTTAGGAGGCTACAATCTCCGCGGAGCCAGTTACTCCTGTAGTCCGGGCCATTGCTTCGGTAGCCATTGAGCCAGCAGCTCCTGTGTGTCTGCAGCTTCCGCCGTCGCCTCCCATCTCCTCTCCTCTCACAGTCCCTCCTCCTCCTCACATGCCCTCTGTGACTACCCCTAGCTTTACTTGGGCTTGTGAACTATTTTATGACTTCATGCTGTACTGATTATACCCCACTTTGCCTATGGGGGTGTGTCAGAATATGTTGTTTGTGTAGCCTGCAGTGGGGTACTCAATAGTGATTACAGCCCCATAGGGTTTGCTATTTGTATCCTGCTGCTTGCTAGTCTAATCATTCCTTCCTCATTTCTGTTCGTGCACACAGCTGTCGCTCGTACTTGGCTCCTCGTTCTAGTCTTCCTGTGGCCTAGGCTACTAAGCCTAGGCCTGACTACTTAGCATATTCAACATCTCCCGGCGCGCGTAATCCCCAGCGCCCAATCCCCACCGCGCAATCCCCACCGCGCAATCCCCACTACACAATCCCCCACCGCGCAATCCCCAGCGCACAATCCCCCACCGCGCAATCCCCAGCGCGCAATCCCTAGCGCGCAATCTTACAGCGCGCAATTCCCCAGCGCACAATCCCCAGCGCGCAATCCCCATCGCACAATCTTACAGCGCACAATCTTTCAGCGCGCAGTCTCCCAGCGCGCAATCCAAGCGCACAATTTCCAGCGTGCTATCCCCCGAATCCACCAGCGCGCAATTTCCCAGCGCGCTATCGCCTATAGGCGGCCCTGACGCCTTTCCCGCCAGTGCGAACGGCGCCCAAGGCACCAAACGCCTTGGACGTTGCCAGTTATTCCCTTCCTCCGGCCGTCTCTCCTCTCTCCTCTCCTTGTATCACTCTTAAAAAACTAATTTTATTTATCGCTCTAATGCGATGTATCCCGTTATCCTCAAAAGGCTCGTAATCTCTCGCTGCATCCCCTCAACCTTTGGGCGAACAGTGCTGCAGACAGGAAGCCATGTCGTGTTCGCCTTGTCTTTCTCAGAGGAAGGTGCTCAGAGTGCAAGTGTGAGCAGGAGAGTGTGAAGAGGAGGGAGTGTGAGAGCGAGAGAGAGAGTTGTGAGAGAGTGTGTTTTGTGTGAGAGTGCATGTGAGCGAGCGTATGTGTGAGTGTATGTGGGAGCGTACGCGGGAGCGTACGTTGGGGCGTACGTGGGAGCATACGTGG